TTTTTATTCTTTTTTTATTGAATCCATAAGGTTCACTCGGCCTCCAGGGGTATCCTTTAGTGCTGCTCGGCCCTCATATCCTCTTTCACTTGCAATTATAGGTTCATGCTCTTCCTTTTTTTTTTTTTCTCCCTTTAGAGATTGCAGGTTTAGCTCCCTAAAGGCTAACACATACAGGAGTTTACAGAAAAGTCACCTGATCAAGATAAAACTGGGTTAATGAGGATATGGTGCAAGGCGGAAATGTTGCTGCAACATCCCGATGCGTGAGCATTCACTGTGCAAGCTACCTTTCAGCAGGGGCAGCTTTTTCTCCCCCTCTAAGTTCCTGCAATGGGCTTGTTCGCAGTGATGGCTCAGCTTTCTATTCAGAAACTGCACCACACTTCTAGGTGCACTGCAGATTCCCAGTCAGTCTTATTACGTTGGGATGTTACACACCGCCTGATCACAATAGTTATCTTTCCTCCACATCTCCACAGAGGATGCATTTGCAGTTGGAAATGAAAATCACATGAAGCATTTTTCTTTTTTGTAGTATGCTGTTATTTTTATTCTTTTTCTATTTATTATTTTATTTTTCTCCAGTCTAGCTGGTTGATACTTTGCTGGTCAGGATGACAAAAGGTGCTGTCATGGCTCACAAAGCCGGACCAGTTGTTTCTCTTTTACTTGCTAAAATAACATTTCTTTGCATGATGGAAAATAAATCAGTTTTTCCCTTTCTTTTTATCTAATGTCTTCTTCTTTTTTTTTTTTTTTTTTTACACACTGGTGACCTATGTCCACATATCCAGATGGTATTATGCTTATATTCTTCTGTTTTTTCCCATCTCCCAGGGCAATGCCAGCTTAGACATTCAGAATGTTAACCAGCAGACGGCATTACACCTTGCAGTGGAGCGCCAGCACACTCAGATAGTTCGGGTTGGTATTTTATATTTCATTTCTTCTTCTTCTTCTCTTTCTCTCACTTCTTCTAATCTTTTAATGCCCCTCTTGTGCCACTAAGTGAACATGCTCTCTTCAGTTATCTGCTAGTTCCCTCTCCTATACACAAAAGGCAATAGATTGCAGCCCTCTGTTTAATTTACACGGTTGGATGTCCTGCCTCAAAGAGGAGGGGAATGCTCTTCGAGGAAATGTGTAGCGTTGGATTAAGACTGCCACGTTGCCATCTTGTGGACTACAAACAAAAGTACACTCCATAATTAGAGGGTTGAAGCCCACTATACACGGCAGCACTATAAATCAGTGATGTGGCATTTGCACCGTAGCATAAAATAAAAGTTATTTTGTGTTTGTCACCTTATTCCGGTTGTCTGTTGGGGTCATTCTTTGTTCATGTCTCCTCTGTTTCCAGCTGCTGGTGCGGGCAGAGGCTAAGCTTGACGTGCAGGACAAGGATGGGGACACGCCGCTTCACGAGGCGCTGCGTCACCACACACTGTCCCAGTTGCGGCAACTCCAGGACATGCAGGATGTCAGCAAAGTGGAGCCCTGGGAACCCTCCAAGAACACAGTACGTTCAGTTCCATTCTGAACTTTCCCTTTTCCAACACTTCAAATGTGTCGGTGTCATAAAATTTCACCAATTAAGAAGTTTTCAGAAACACGTTTTTAAACGTACTTGATAGGTAGGGAACACATTGAAGTACGTTGTGAAAGTATTCATGTCCTTTGAACCTTTTAATATTTTATCACGTTACATTGAGGGATTTCAAAATATTTTGTTGGAAATTGATTGGAAAGTAGATACAAAAAAAAAAAAAAAAAAACCGTGAGGCTGGGCTGAAAATTTACCTTCCGATTGGAGAGTGACCTCGAGCCACATGTAATGGTTTAGATGGAAAAAAAAACATATATTCATGACACACAGTTCATATCTGACTCCAATTGAGAATCTGTTGCAAGTGTTTATAATTGCTCTTCAGACGCCACACACCCAATCTTCCCAACCTTGAGCTGTTTTGTCTCTATGTGCAGATCTGGTAGAGGAATGTCCTAAAAGACACGCAGCTGCTGGATCTGCAGAGAATGGTGGTTTTACCAAGTCTTATTTTTTGTTAGTGTATCACCTAAACTAGAATAATTAATATTTGTGTTTTTAAAGAGACAAAATGTGAAAAAAAAATGTAAGGATTATAAATGCACTAAACATAAGACTATAGATCTGTATCGTAAAATTGGTGTAAAAGATTTCATTTTTTAAATATTTGTAAAAACAATTGCTAAATTTTAAGTTGAAGCCACCTACATACTTCCGCTCTGGGTTAGCTGCAGAAATAAATAAATGCAGCTTTTTATTACCTAAAACGCTGATGCAGAGTGCTCTAAATAAATGTTCTAAAACTAATATAGCACGTGAACATCTCCAGCCGAGCTGCATCTATAAAATTCATACTTGTACCTTTAATATCCTGCTACCTGCCTTTTCCCATTTGGCGGCTCACTGAAGCAGCATGTCATTGTTTTTGGCATTTATCATCTGCTAGATTGTTTAGCATTGTCTTGTCACAGTTTTCCTCAGTTCACAAGCTTGGAATAAAATCAGTTTGTGGTTCGCCGTGAAGGATGACGACAGATCCCTGTTTAGTCAGGAAGCTCACAGTCTCCATCACCCGCATCAATGGACAGCTGAGTCTGCACCAGCCCATCATTCAGGTGGAAGCGCCGAGCAGTCAGTTGCCTCGCTGCTTCGCCTCCACCTGAATCCTTTGAAGGGGCCAAAAGGGGGCATGTCAAACCCAAGCCCTTTCCATGTTAACGGCACATCATTAATCGCTGCTGGGGAGACTTTAAAGCCTCGAGTCAGCGACAGATTTTTCCTTACCTGTCACCTTCTGTCTCCCACCCACTCGCTTTTCCACCTCCTCCGCGAGCCCCGTGTTCTGCCCTCGCCGGTTCTCCCTCAGGGGAGCGAAACGGATAGACAGCAGGCCTAATTTGAGAAATATGTAGTTGGGTCACACTCGCGTACCCCTTCCCTCCCTTCAAGAGGGGAATTGAATTAGCTGGCCCGATGGCTCCATCAGCAGAGATGTAAAAGTTACTGGTTGAGGAGATTCAGAGATGGAAGGTTGAAATTGGTTGTGATTGGGGGAGCTTTGCAGTTGAGCTGAATGAGTGAGGTGATGAGTTTTGCAGGGAAGAGAGATGAGACAGGTTGACATGGTTATACTGTCGTGACATCTCTTTCTGATTAGCTTAATTGTATTGAACTGAACATGGAGTTTAGCAACATGAAAATCTATATTATATGCATAGATTTGTAAAAAAAATATATAGTTACACTCCTTTGTTTTTGTTTTCTACATTATTTAATGCTTTAATCTCACATCTTGAAGAAGACACAGCATGATTCTGCCACCACCGTATTTCACCATGCATGTAGGCCCAAAAGATGTTTTATTTGAAGAGTTGTATTTTTTATTTTTTTTATTTTTTATTTTTTTCATGTTTCTTTTTCTGTCACATAAAATTCTAATAAAACGTACTAAATTTTGTGGCTGTTTAAAAATAAAATATGAAGAGGTCAAAGTGGCATGAGGCGCGGTACTCGTTTTGCCTCCTTACTTACTCAATGCTTCAAATGGCAGCATTCAGGTTAGTATCAGGATGCTCCTGAAAGCTGTTTGTGTCTCAGGTTCCATCTTTTCTTCTCTGTTTCTGTCATCCTCTGCAGTTAATCATGGGCTTGGGCACCCAGGGAGCAGAGAAGAAGAGCGCAGCATCCATCGCCTGTTTCCTAGCAGCAAACGGTGCAGACCTGACCATTCGCAACAAAAAGGGCCAGTCCCCTCTGGACCTCTGTCCGGACCCCAGTCTCTGTAAGGCCTTGGCCAAATGTCACAAAGAGAAGAGTAGGTAAACATCCCAGGAGTTGGTTGACATATTGGGAAACGCATTTAACGGCTTTCTTGCTGAGAACTCAGCGAGAAGATCAATATCAGTCTGGTCTGTATGGTAAATGTGACGTTATGCCCTGGAGAGTGTGTGGGCAGAACTTAATGTAAAGACAATGGAGAATATCTCAAAGTATCAACAGAGTTTTTATGCTTATTGAGTATGCAAACTTCATAAGAAGAAGCAAAAAAAAAAAAAGATTGATTAAATAAGGCATTGCTAATTAGCAGTTCCTCATCCACCCTTGTTTCTAATATCTTCCCATTAACACTGTTCTTATTGTTCCAGCGGTCAGGTGGACACCCGCAGCCCGTCTCTGAACAGCAACATCGAGTCTCTGGAGGAGTGCATGGTTTGCTCGGACATGAAGAGAGACACTCTGTTTGGGCCCTGCGGACACATCGCAACTTGCTCGCTCTGCTCGCCGCGTGTCAAGAAGTGTCTCATCTGTAAGGAGCAGGTTCAGTCCAGAACAAAGGTAATATTAAACACCTCAGAGGTTCTGGAGGTGCTGCTACAGAACAGAGTGATGAAACCCAGCTTGATATGTGAGAATCGATGAGTTTTAAAAGGAAGTGTTCCACAGAAGTTGGCTGAAAAAAAATTTATTCAGGGCTTCAATTTGCAGGGAGAAAACGCACATTGCTTTAAAATTATTTTAATAATAAAAAATTTGTAGAGTCCCACAGGAATCTATTTTGGGACCAATTTTATTTTATGCACATATTTGTCAGCTACAAGTAACGCGGATTTTGAAAATATCTCCGAATTATTCAATCAAATATGTTATCTAAACAATAATCAGTATATATATTTTATATCATATTTACATAAAAAAATAAAAAATGTAAATCCAGCTCTATCCTTTGCACCTGCAATCATTTACAAGTTTCATTCATTAGTGTGTAGACTTACAATATTATAAGCTGATTTAATCATATTCTTTGTTTTCATAGGAAAGTATATTGGCATATTTATTAGGCCTTGTAGTGTAATTTGGCTGCAGTTCTTCATAATTCATAACTATAGATTGATTTGTCTACTTTTTGTATAATGTGATGTTTCATAACCTCATACTTATAGTCTGTGTGCAAAATAAGTTCTGTAAAAAGCAGTGGAACATTTTCATTGAAATTCAAAACATTTTAAGCACTTGGAAAATGTCCTTTGAGTGAAACTGAAGTACTTTTTGGTATTTAGTTGTGGATGAGTGTCTCTTTATGCTTCACTGCTTTATAATATTTTTGTTTAATTAACAGTTAACTGGAGTAAGTATGTTTGTATTTTTTCTTTCCTTTATTTTTAATCATACGATAAAAGTGTCTCTCGACACATTTTGCCAAGAGACAAAACAGCCACCTTCTAAAGCAGCCATATCTTTAGAAAAATTGATGACTAAGACTAAACGAACCTTTGTGTGTTATGCGTCCCTCTGCAGATTGAGGAGTGCGTCGTTTGCTCTGACAAAAAGGCCGCTGTGTTGTTCCAGCCCTGTGGTCACATGTGCGCTTGTGAGAGTAAGTCAACACACACACACACACACACACACACACACACATTACATCTCAGTAGCCTTGATCTTGACACCGGCCGCCCATATTTGCGCCAACCTTCGGATGTGAACACGCACGTGCCTGTTCTCCGCAGACTGTGCCAGCCTCATGAAGAAGTGCGTACAGTGCCGGGCTGTGGTGGAACGCCGCACCCCCTTCGTTCTCTGCTGCGGAGGGAAAGGTATGGAGGATGATGCCGCTGATCATGATGATGATGATGATGATGATGATGATGACCTTAGTGAGTGAATCTTCCAAGTGTTCCCTTTTAATCCATCCATTTTTACATTTCACTCCTTTCTTATTTCTTCATTCTTTTCTAAATCATTTTGTTTAGTCGTTTTGAATTTATTATTGTTTCTGCCATTTAGTTGACATTACTATCATGTTTTTTTTTTCATTCTAGTTTAGACACTGATAACGAAACTGAGATCAATTAGACGTATTTACAAACTAGCAGCAGTATTAAATCTGCATGTTTTCATCACTGCAATCATTCTAAATGCTTATTTCTATGTATTAACTTAAGTGACCTAGATGGAAGAATGTTCTCTAAAGCTTTGCTGCCTTGACTAAAATCTACCCGATTGATCCCTGAAACACGAAATTTTATTTTCAAAAGTATACATACATTCATCCTTGACATGAGTGTCATTAATTTTGAGCTTTATTTGAACTTTCGTGGGTTGAATAATGTTAATATTACAATTTCAAATACTTTTAAAGTACACACACAAAAAAAAAGACTTGAATAAATTCTAATTGGTTGTGAATTTTTTCTAATCTACAAAAAGTCAAAATGAGAAATACAGGCTCAAAGATGTATTCAAAAGTCCCAACTAATGTTAGCTTTAGTGTCAAGTGGATGAAGACTCCTCTGCTTTTTATGATCATTGTCAAGCTTCAGGAATATTTCTGCAGGAGTATTTCACTGCCATTATTAGTGGCAGTATTTAAATTAGTTGGGTTCTTAACTCAGATCTGGTTTAAAGTTTCAATATCGATGAGATCGGGGTCATTCCCAGAACTCCCTTAGCTTGCTTTATCCATTTAAAATCAGTTTTAAAGTTTTTAAAGTGCATCTGCTACTTTTACATGCATCCCTACTATAACACACCTAAATCAAATGACTGAATTACCTCCTCACAATGTCATGAAGTTAACGGAAAACTCTCCTAATCTAAAATACACTCGACCAGTTCACCAAGAATATTAAAAATTCAACCATGTGCAGCAAGAAGCTCTTTTATGGCTGTAAAACATGTGGTGGAGGAATAACTTGCTTGGGGGCATTTAGCAAAAATATGAATAGAGTGGTTTTTATCATTTTGGGACTGTGTAGTTTATTGAAAGTCCACCATAAATTCAAATTTATGCACCCTGTTATTTTTTTTTTCTTTTTTAAATGCTGTTGGATTTTTATTAAAATAGTTCCATCCAGAAGAAAAAAAGGTTCACAATGTACCATTAAGAGTCCAAAATCATTTATTCCCTCAATGAACTGCATGTGAACTTCTAAAGCTTAATTTTAAAATTAAATAACACTTAATTTAACAGAGAAGCAATCAATAGCTGTTAATAGTTTTAATTACTTAAAAGTATAACCAATGACATTGATGTAAAATGCAGTGACCTAAAAAAAAAAAAAAATTAGTAAATAAAAACTCCTTTTGGCAAATTTTCTGAATTAGATAAGGATAAATGATGTGAAATTAGTCCTAAAGTTTCTTTATTTTACATTTAATCATCTTATCTTTGTTTGATCCTAAGTTGTTATAGAAACCATCTATGACTTAATTTAATTTTCGGCAATTTATTTTGGTGCTTCTCGCTATTGGGTGTTTTTCATGTTTTATGTTGAGATAAAAGGGAAACTATTTCCACATTCACCCTATTTGCATCTCACTCTCTGCAGCTGGTCGTAAAGGCAGCCTTGATCAGCTACACAAACCAATACGCACATACACTCATGCAAGGGGCAGCATCCAGTGCTTCAATCCTAAACAAACTGCGCCATGAATTACTGCCTGTTGCTTTAAAGCAAATCCCCTTCCTAAAATTCACACCTACCTCCCTTTTAACTTATTCAGACTGTTTGTTTTTTTGGATTTTTATTTTTATTTTAACATCCAAGTCAGTTATAAGCATTGGCTGATTGCAAAAAAAAAAAAAAAAGTATATAAATATGCTGCTATGATCTACATTTTCCATTTCTCTCTGTGGTAGCTGCTTCCAACTTTCTGGTTTCCTCTTCAAAGCCTGTCTCCTTTAGAGGCTGTAGTTAACAGTAGCCAGTTGACAGTTGAGCTGGTGAGGGCAGCTCCTGCTATAACAAATGTTGACTGGTTATTTCCAGCAGGGAGCTCTAACACTATGGCAGGGGGATCCCAGGATCTTCTCCAGCCCAACAATCTGGCATTAAGTTGGTGTAAGTATACCTCCCTGAGGCCCCCCCCCCCCCCCCCCCCCCCCATCCC